CACTACATACTGTACTGCATACTATACTACACACTGCACTGTACTACATACTGCACTGTACTACATACTGCACTACTCAGAAGCTATTCGCACATTTTTTCTTAGACGATTTTATTACAACTAACTACAGAAATATTTGACCTAAAATTTTTGTTTTAAAAGTTCTATTTGATAACTCTTATTCTTCACTGTCTTTATATACCGTAATTTCCAAGATAATAAAGCCTTTTGTAGTACCGAAAGAGGTATTTTATCCCATTGCTGTCGAACAGCTTTCCGAAGTCTAAGGAGGTTGCAGGTCAACGTTTGGACATTTCGATTTTCAAAAGTCTAAAAGCACAAAATTCCGTGGATGATACATCAGGTTGATGTTGATGTTGATGTATTTAATTATGGCAAAGCACACGAGGGCTATCTGCCTAAAGGGAGGGATGCCTTTCGTGGAGGACTTTCTAAGGGAAACTGGCTCGTATACACGTTACACATGGGGAAAACCACGAAAACGCCCATGCAGCCAGCCCGTTCGCGGGATTCGAACCTCAGACCGAACTACCAGTGTTCAGCGTCTTTACCGCTCGGCCGCTGGTGGGCCGATGATACATCAGGAGATTTGACAGGGATATGAGTGTCGGGTACAGCCTTGATACCCGTTTCTTGTTCGATTTTTTCCCGGAAATTAACAGCAGATGATTTTGACGTGCCACTGCTTGCTTTGTCTTGATGCAGTTTTACTGATTGTATATAAACAGAAGGTATTTCATATTTGAAACTATTTTACACTGTATATAAACAGAAGGTATTTCATATTTGAAAATTGAGCATAAAATGTGTTTTTGTTAATATATGGAGTTTATTTTAACATTTTACTCCACTCTCTTTATTTTTAATTTGCCGCTGTATGAAAAACGAGCAACAATTATAAATCCCTTTGAAAAACTTTCTTTAGATCTCTTGAACCATGTTTTAAGATATTTTTTCTCCTCTTTGATGATAATAAACGGATCTATTTTTATTGCAGTCATTTAAAAACACCCAACATTCATCTATTGTGACAACATTTTTCTGTTTTTTTGGATAAATGTTTCTCATAAAAAATTCTACGTTCGCTAGCAAGGTACATTCCGTGTTGGCTGGCTACGTCAGGATTTTGTGAAGCTCATCATTTACGTAAGTTTCGTTCTTGATCCTTCAAAGAAATGAAGTGCATATATATATAACCTAAGCTCCTACATTTTCATGTTAGAACCGTCTGTGTGATGGGGTTAATTTCCTTATGCTAACAGTAAACACCCGTCATCGTAAGTGCACGTTAAATGCATTTGTTAAGATAATAGACGCATATTTCATTGTCAGACTGATGTTTGAATTACTATTCTTTTTTTTTTTTTTTTATTATCTGCAGCATTTAGAATTGCCGTCTTTTCGGCAATTCGAAACATTACATTTCGGTTTCAACATTTTAGAATTGTCGTGTTTTGAGCGTATTTTCGGGTATATGTGTAACGATAGGCAATAAATGCATACGCGTACCACACACGATGAATACCTAGGAATTTACTCGTATTATATTTAACTGTAATTTCCCTGATTTTCCCCTTAATGATGAGGAAAAAAAAAAGCTTTGGATTTCATTCATTCATGGTGTTTTGCCAAACGATGGAGAATGCAAGAACTTCTTAGAGGATCGAATTTTGTGAATATGCAATGTTAAAAACTGCAAGTGAAGTGTTCAAATGCTGATAGGAAACTGACGTTTGTTTCAAGGCGGCCGTTCTCTTTTACGGTCTTAAAGTTATTTGTTTATATTAGGGAAAAGGAATATGACATACGTATGTATGTATATACGTATACGTATTATGTAAAGGAATATAAGTTGGTGAAATTCTGTGTTAAAGGATTGGGATCATCACCCAACACACTGATACTGATATAATTACCTCAGATAATTTTTTGTTATTTGAATGGAAAACGATATGCGGGGGAAGAAAGGTGTAATGATTGTATCGCCGAGATACACCAGTCTATGAAGTGTAAAGCTAGCCACACTTTTCGCCAATTCAGAAATTCACCAATTAGTTGGCGACTTATTGTGAAGAGGGGTTGTATAATCAGGAATTACCTAATTTACTAAAAATCTGGAAGAAAAATCTGAAAAAATTTGTTTCTGACGTGGTTGATCCTGGAAAAGGCAAATGCAATTTCATTACCAAATCTTCAATAAAATGTTTGAATCTGTGTGTAAAATTAAATTGAAAAAGATATTTCGGTTGGATCCTAGCAGAGCCCACACCATTGGCGCGAATGATCGACGTGTACATGGACAAAGTCAAGGGAGTGTGTAATGCCAAGTATGTGCAATTCTATGATGTTTTTTTAAGTGATAATAGATCGATGTGTACATAGATATCGAGTTTGCAATTCTTTGACTTGTTATTTTTCAAGTTGGCGATTTTGAGAAACGCTTGAAGCAGTGCGCACTTTCCCAGTTTGTCGCCAAGGGTGTGTGCTCTCCTAGGATTTTACGGATATTTCATTGTAACAAAATCTATTGAATTCAGATATATGCTTACGATAAAGCAGATAAATGCAGAAGGTAAATATTGTAAGATTCTGCTCTTATTTGTTATGTATTTAGGTATGCAAAGATTCTGCAATATTCTTGTAACAAACACATTTATGTTTCTCAGTTTTAATCATCTAGACCTCATATAAGGTATTAAAAACAAGTGAATAAAAACAGAAAAAGGTTTCGTTTTTGCTGTGATGTCATAACATATGTGTAAGCAAAGAAGTGTTTTATATTGTAATTCAATGAAGCCAACTCAAGAACCGAATTTGAGCATATTTTCAAACTTTTGATAATTCGTATTTTTATTTGGAATTAATACCTCAAAATTATTGTAGCAACTGGTGTTTATAAACATAACGTACTGCCCGGGGCATCAAGACTCAATTTAAGGATATTTTCCGTTATAGGATAACGTACGCGATAACTCGTGGATAACGCAGTTTTCAATAGAAAGCTATATGCGCCAACGTCACTCACTAGCCACCGTTAAATTAAATGTGTTTTTCTTATCTTCTATAATAATGTTCGTATTTTTCAAAATTAGGTATTGTCAATATGTAGTATTTAAAGTAACCTAAGCAGTGTATTCCTTATGGTTGGAAAAATTTTACCCCGGGTGAAATCAGCTGATTTTTTCTCCCTGAAAGTATGAAGCTGACACTCATCTTTCTAGAGAAAATTATTTGGTGTACATTATCGTATAACAGGGGAACAAATTCCATTTAAATTGACTGAGGGTACATAAGTTAGCCACCACTGCTTTAATTAAGCAATCGGAGTAAAGGTTTTGGTTATTTGGGTTACGGTAAAGCACACGAGTACTGTCTTCTTGTAACTAGAGCAAAGAGAAATGTTCTAGGTCGGTAGTTCTCAACTTTTGTGCCGCGAATGCATTGGGTTGGTGGCCCAAAGGGGCGTTTGAAAATCTTCCTCTACTTTAAGCGAAATTATATCTAAATGTTTTAAGAACCGAACTGCCGATGTGTTGCTGTTTTGACGGAAAGAACATCAGATTTCGGACAAACCCCTATCAGCTTACGTAATGGTTTCAAATTACTTTCAAGATGATAATGTCAAGAAGTTAACATGTTTTTAAGGTCGTAACAGAAACATCTGAATTTATTTCTGTAGAAGGAAATCTTAGAGCTGTTTTATGAAAATACATTGATAACAAAATTCAGTAGTTGGGAACTGAATGAATTCTGGATACTACTGAAAGTTCAATAATCCACTGGGCACATCATGCTTTTGCGGAGGATCACGCAAGCATTCACTTGCGATAAAAGCAATAACGAAACAAAGAAAGCTATGGCTGTGTCTAATTTGATTCCAACATTTTAAAAAATGTGCAATGAAAATACCTGTGCTATTAATTTACGATTCATTCGTTCAATGGCATATAATTGTTCAAAACATTCATTAACTTGTATATTTTATATAAATTCAAATACTCAAAAACTGAAGAGAACAGGCAATACTGTTGCAGATTTAATACTGCCAGGGTGCATCACGTCGGGGCTTAACAGATTTCACCTCAAATGAAGTTTGGTAAAATTCATGTCTCATATTTATGCTTAAAAGCTAGAGCGAAGGTTTGGAAATGTTTCCTGAGCGAAAGGCTATATTACAGCAGATTCTTCTTGGGATAGAGCTGTGGCATCGTTGTACTTTTAAGTGGATGATTGCCTTAATGTTCACCTATTTTACATTAAACTCAGAGTTCTCTTTGTTTGGTAACTCGCGACAACTTTAGACAGTACACGAACAAATAACATTTAAGCTTGTTCTCTGACTTCATAGTTTTAAATTTTGTAACCCAGAAATTGTGAGGGACATGACGGCTTATGACATTAGCAAAAAGTCCAAGTATTTGTAAAGAAACATTTAACGCAATTATTGTTTTGTCTATTAATTTGAAAAACATGTCTAATATTTTTTAAGCATGGGCCCACCAGCGGCCGAGCGGTAACGTCGCTGAACACTGGTAGTTCGGTCCGAGGTTCGAATCCCGCGAACGGGCTGTCTGCATGGGCGTTTTCGTGGTTTTCCCCATGTGTAACGTGTATACGAGCCAGTTCCCTTAGAAAGTCCTCCACGAAGGCATCCCTCTCTTAAGGCAGATAGCCCTCGAGTGTTTTGCCATAATCTAACAAAACCAAAACCATTTTTTAAGCAAATTAAGTATGTGAAATGAGTACTGTACCTGCTAGGTAGGCTTATGTTCTGATTTTAGGCGCCATGCAAAAAAAATGATATACCGAAGGCATCGCCAACCGAAAATGTTCGAGAAATGCTTGTCTAGCTGATGCGTTATTTCCTAAAATTTTATCTAGTTTTACCACCTTATATTATATTACATCAAATATTTATAACATATTATATCACATAAAAAATAATTTAAAGTTTATAACTTTTATATATTTTTTTCCAGGAATTTCTACTCTGGGAATGCAAAGTAAAAGCATGTCTACTTGGAAAAACACCGAAAGCTGTTACTTCTCATTGCAAATCAGTCTTATAGTAATTATCTTGATACCGTTCACCTGTTCTCAATCAGTGAGAAATACAATGGTTTTAAATAACAATCCTTCGTCTTTCAACTCAGCATTATTATATTCTCAAATGAATATGAATAACTTTCCAGGTCAGTCCTCCATGACACAAATGTTTGGTTCTGGCAGTAGAAGATTGTCGGTGTTGTCCACTCTTTTCAATGGCTTAAGAAACAGCGGACTGGAACAAACCATAGCTGGAGAAGTTTTGCAAAGGCTTATCAAAACAACCTTAAAGGACATTCTAGTTCCATTTAAAAGTAATGCATTCTCATCGGGAAGTGTCTGATTTGGAAAGCTGGTCTTTTCCTCGAGCATAGTCTTCAACCATTTAGTCCTTGAATATTTTTATATGTACAAGTCTATTATTCACATTTGCATTTACATATTATAGCTAGGTTTTGCGTTCTACAAAAACACAGCTTGGAAATGAAAAAGTATGTGTAGTGACTGGTAAACATTTGATTGATATAACTCAAAATTTTAATTGTATTTTAATGAATTTTTATTTGATTTCTTTTTCTAGTAAAATGCTGCTATTACATTTTTTTGCATAAATATTCTTATTCTTGAATGAGCAAATAATTCATTTTTGTGACTGTTTGAATGTACAAAATGCTGAAATGTCACTCTTCTAAAGGCAGTATAGAAGATTTAAAATTTATTTTGAATTATCAGTGTTTAAAGAGTAACTAATAAAGCATTTATTCTAAAAGAGTCGAGGAAATTCAAAGATTTAGAAATAGGAAATTCGACTTTTTTAATTAAATTGTATGTCAAGCAATAATTTATTTCGCGTTCAAGAATTTTTAAAAAACGTGTTGATAGAAAAAAGTGTAATCTTGTAAAACTGTTGAGAACTAATGAAATCCGCACAATACAAATTCTAGACTGATTTAATGTTTTTAATGTTATCTTTGAGAAGCAAAAAAGTAACTGGCTTGTTTTTCTTTTTATCCTTCAATCATTTAGTTAGCTTATTCTGTTGAAATATGTAAACAAAACAGATCTTTTAGGGAACTCGAAGTTTAATGTTTATACCTTTCATATTAAAATAATGTTTCTTTTCTTAGAATCTAACAAATATATTTGTTTTGCTTTAGATTTTTTTGAATAACTAGATATTTAACCAGCCACTTCGGAAGTTTTTCTCATGCTTGCAGGAATGAAAATGTGATATTCTGCCAATTTTTGAAAAATTTTTATGTACATTAAAATTTTAAATTTCTAGATTTGATTGTCTTTTTCTGAAATGGAATGCGGTTCTTTTCTCTTACAAGACAACACGTGTACCAAACGATTTTCTGCGGAAGAATTTACACACAAAAATGTTTTTAATTTATTCTGTTTCGTTTTTATTTTTTGAACTAAACTGAATTGCATTTCACGGCGATTTGATATCTATGAAATATTTTATAGAACGAAATTTGTCTCGCTGCAATTAATCAGTTGGTGCACATACAGAGGGAAGTCCACTAAAGGCAGAGCGATAAACTAGTATAGTAGTTCGGTCAGGAACACGAATCGCGGCGAACGGGCTGGCTGTGGGGGCATTTTCGTGGTTTTCTCCATATGTAACATTCATACTAGCCAGGTTTTCTTAGAAAGCCTCAACGAAGGCAACCCTTCCTTAGGCAGATAGCCCTCGAAGGCTTTGCTCTCATCAGATAAGCTAAGCTATATACAGAGATTGTTTACACACTTCGAACCTGAGTTGAACTACAACTGTTCAGCGATTTTACCGCTAGACCGCTGGGGAGGGGAGCAAAACACGTTGAAAAGGTATACATGCCATATCTGCATTTGTCTTCATTTTTTTCCCCAAGGAATGCGGTAATTTTCGAAGTGTGACCTTGTTGCTTTGTCTTGATGAAATTTCACTGTTTGAAAGTCATCGGCATGAAGAAACTTCTGTGAATGGCACTTCTGTAAATATTGGTCTAAAATTTCCTCTCATAGTACACTGAATTCTTTACATTTTTTTTCACTTTTCTTACTTTTAATCTGCTATTGTAAGAGAATCCTGCGACAATCATAAAACCTTTATCGAAACTTTGTGTTTACGGGACCGCGTTTGTACACTTTTCCCTCTTTGTTTTCTATAATAGATCTTTTTTCGTGGCAGTCATTTAGGGAAACCCATGCTTATGAAGAGTTACAATGTATTTCCATTTATCTCATGCTAATTAGTTTTCATTCAGGATTCTATAAAGTTAGATGAATTCTCTTCCGTTGAACCGCATGCTTCAAGACAAGTTGAACATTGTTTTTAGCTTTTTTTAAGTTGTAAATAATAGTTTATTTATTGTTACAGATATGTTTAAAGAATTTGCAATTGATTTCTGCGTCGTCGGATTTTCTCCAGTTACCAGCAATTTAACCATAAAAACATGGCCCACCAGCGGCCGAGCGGTAAAATCGCTGAACACTGGTAGTTCGGTCCGAGGCTCGAACTCCGCGAACGGGCTGGCTGTATGGGCGTTTTCGTGGTTTTCCCCATGTGTAACGTGTATACGAGCCAGTTTCCCTTAGAAAGTCCTCCACGAAGGCATCCCTCCCTTAAAGCAGGTAGCCCTCGAGTGCTTTGCCGTAATCTAATAAAACCAAACCAAACATTAAAAACAGGACGTATCTTTTTCAAGTATTCGTTTGGAGTCTTTTTTTTTTTTTTTTTTTTTTTCTCCCATGTGGTTTCATGGTTCATTGTTTTTCTTTTTCTGATTAATAGCGCGGCTATATTTCATCTGCTGAGATTGCACTTAGAAATTTTAATTTAATTAATAATAATTTTAATACACTTAGAAATAATGCAATTCACAATGTTTCTGAATTATGGAATAGGAATATTTCTCTTCGGAAAGGGCAAAAACTTATCCTTCAGCTCACAGCTTCTTTACACGGGACATTTTGAAAGAACCGATTTCAAAGTAGCATGTGATATTTCTTATTTCAACAGAAATTTTGATTTCAAAACATTTGTTTTTTTATTTTTTAAAATTCTTTATCAAAATCGTTCTAAAAATATGTAAACATCCTTTGTATCTTTCTAGAAAAAAATTATCTTGCATTTGGTGTCTACAACAAAACAAGTAGGATGTCTTATAACGTAAGACTATATAGTATAAGGGTTATTCTCCTATATTCTCATTCTAAATGCTTTTCTCATTATATTCCTGTACCATTATAAAGACCATCAGAATTTTCTTCGTTTTTTCCTTATCTTTGAAACTATTGATTGATGTTATAAAGCTTCATGAATTGCTTATTTGAAATGCCTAAAATTAATTCCGTGAATTTGTAAAAGAAAAATCTAAGCTTTATTAGACTAACTAATAAAATTTATGTTTAAACGATAATGTGATAAAGATGTTAATTTAATTAGGTTTTTTAATATAATTTTCATCTGCTGAGATTTTAAATTGTAATTTAAAACAAATATTTTAAATTAAAACGGTAGTTGTTGCAAAAATTTTATAAAAGAAATTTTACTTTGTTTTTCGTGATAAATACATAATGTGCAGATTTTAAACGCTACGTACATCACTGAAACTAAGAAGACTATCGTACTTGTGTACATGCGGAATTTATGTAGTATATATTCAGAGATGTGAAGGGATCAGACACAATTATATTCTTAAATTTAATGCTTTAAAAGGTTTCACAAAATGTTAAGTGTACACAAGTGGGATAACGGCAATAAAATGAAAAATTCGTGTATTTCCTTCTTTTCGAATGATTTAAAGTCTCCTTTTTATTATCCTGTTAATGTCGAATTCCTTTTCTTTAGATTTTGAAAAATACCTAATTTTTTAAAATGGATCATTGAACAAGATAGTCAGCTGAAGACTAGAAAAGGCTTAATTACTGTGCAGTGTAAGACCAAGAAATAGTTTCCCGAAATAATTTAACAGCATTTATAATCATAAGAAATAATAAAATAGTGTGAACCCAAAGAACTGTTAAATAAACACTCAGCTGTTGGTGGTTGTACCTACGAACATGCGCCTGCTCTGTAAACCTTTCTATTCGATATCTCGCTACAGCATCATTTCTGTGCGTTGGTAGCAGTATGGTTTTTCGAACAAGATCTTTCAGTATGATTGATACGAACTCTTATGGGTATGGTGCGTTCTTTTTTAATACAGTTGATGCCTTCATTTTGGAAGAATTTAATTGCGCCGCTTCGGCAATTGCCGAATCCAGTCATCCATATTGATTCTTTCTTTAAAATATATTAAGCCTTTCAACAAGAAAGCAATTGAAAATGTCGGAAGACATTAGCAGACGGATATTCATCTTCCACGTTTCGTTATTGACATCATTTCATAGCTACTCTTGAGCTGAATTTGAAGAGGTTAACTTATTTGAGTACACATAATTAACCGGAAAATACTGAAGGGAGAAATAATTTTTAATAAGTGCTTCAAAACTTGCATTAGTGGCTGAAAATATTTTAAGCTCTAATTTTCAAACTATCGAAAGGTTTTCTTAACAAATAGAAATAACACGAGTATCGAGGGAAAAGCTATTAACAAAGGCAAAAGAAAGAAGTTAATGAATGAATGAACTCTATGAAAAATAATTTCTGGAAGTTTAAGTAAGCGGATTGATTAGTAACTTGACTATAAGAAAATTCGTGAGGACCGTCTGCCTGAGTGAAGAGATATTTTTGTAGTAAACTTAACGGAACTGCTTAGAAGTTACGGTATATCTGGGGAAAAGCTTAACTCTTTTGTCTGATTCACCAGAAACTAAGCCGAGGCGAACTGCTAGTTTTCAGTGGTCTTAATTCACTTGGCCACTAATGGAGCTGAATGTTCAGAAAGAGACTGTAAGAAAATTGCATTCAACTGCAAAGCTAGCTGTAGAAGCTGCGTTTCGAAATGCACAATAGTAGCTGTACTAAAGCGTACTCAGTTTACTGCCTATATAACAAGCATATAATAGGGGGACCAGAAATTAATGTCGTTGCGCATGTCGACAACAACATGCTAAGGGCAGAAGTGGAAGCAAATCCATGTCAAACACTCTTAACCAACCTTGATCGACCATCCAAGAACATTTAAAGCAAAATGGAAAAATAAGCAAAGCAGGTGTTTGAGTCCCCCATAATCTGTCCGAAAAGAACGAAGCCAACCTATCCCTCACATGCAAAGTATTGCTTCAACGGCACCATAAGGAACCGTTTTTTTGATCGTTTGATTAGTGGAGACAAAAAAAAAAAAAAAAAAAAAAAAAAAAAAAGTCCTGTATGATAATCCAAAATTCAAAAGGCAGTTTTAATAGGGGTTACAAAGGGTTTACATCCCAAAAAGGCGCTTCTGGGTGTTTGATGGAGTATTTGCGGAATTGTTCATTCTGAATTGCTGAAACCTGGACAAACTGTTAATGCAGACTTTTATTGTGAACAATTGGATGGAGTGAACCAATTTTTAATCGAAAAATATCAATTGTCAATAGAAAAGGCGTCATTCTGCAACACGACAATGCAAGACCGCACTGTGCAAGACGAACACTGGAAAAAATTAATGAATAGGGGTGGGAGGTACTACCATACTCACCCAGCGTACTGTAACAGATTTAAATAATATTAAAATCTTGTAGTTTAAATAACTTAAATAGATGAGCATTAAGGTATTTGTGAATGGCAATATTTGAAACCAGACTCGAGTGCCACGTGCGACTCTCAGACGAAGAATGTAATTTATTTTTAAATGTTAGAATATGTTTTCTTTTCTTGTTTGTATGTCGCCATTTTTTTGAGTGTTAAATAAAAGTTATTGCTGTGTTCCATCATTGGAATTGCTTCATTTCGCCAAAGAAGTATTACAGTCTTAATTATTTTGGAGGCACCGACCGAGATCGAATAATCGTGCGTATTTTTATTTTATTAGTTCATCCCTGAACATAATATTAGTGATACCAGATTATTACTTCCTGTTCATATAGAATTGCTTTATTTTATTAGTTCATCACTGAACGTAATATTAGTGATACCAGATTATTACTTCTTGTTGATATTAAATTGCCTTATTTTATTAGTTCATCACTGAACGTAACTTCCTGTTGATATTGAATTGTCTTATTTTATTAGTTCATCACTGAACATAATATTAGTGATACCAGGTTATTACATCCTGTTAATATTGAATTGCTTTATTTTATTAGTTCATCACTGAACGTAATATTAGTGATATCAGGTTATTACTTCCTGTTAACACTGAACTGCCTT